CCACACACAACACCACTACCAAAACACCCCCTCCTCGCTCTCCCCACGCCGACCCCGGCCCTCTCCCAGGCGGAGCGGCGGCCCCCGCCTCGCTCCGAAACTTTCAGAGATAAATCCCGAGAAAGTTTGGAGGAAGGTGAGTACGGCCCGGCCCGGCCCGCAGCCCCTCCGCCCGCTCCCCATTGCGGGACACTTCGCTAAAAAAACTTTTTCCTTTCCTCCCCATCCCTTCTCGCCCTCCCCTCTGTTGCCCCCTTCCTTCCCCCTCTCCTCTCGTGTCTCCCCCGCCATGTTAGCTGCGAAGAGGCAAGATGGAGGGTTGTTTAAGGGCCCACCATACCCGGGTTATCCCTTTATAATGATCCCCGACCTCAGCAGCCCGTATCTGCCCAACGGATCGCTCTCTCCGACGGCGAGGACGGTGAGTGCCTTTTTTCTTTTTTTGTGCCTTTTCTTCCCTCATCTCCCCCCCCCACAGCGCCGCGCTCCCCGCTGCCCCCGCTCGGCCCCGGCCCCGCCGCCCCCTCCCCCGCGCCGCAAACTTTGCGAACTCGGCGGGCGGCGGCGGGAGGGGGTTTGTTTACACTTCGCCATGTTGCTTCTCTCCTTCGCTCCTTCCCTGGTTTTTATTTCATCTTATTTCTTTTTTTACTTTTTCTTTTTCCTTTTCGAATTGTTTTTTACTTTCAGTTTTACGGGCTTCTTGCTGGAGTCCTCCGATGTAGGGTTAAGAGGAGGGAGAAGGGGGAAAAACGAGAGGTGAAAAAAAGCAACAAAAAGGAAAGCGGCCTCAAAAGTAAAGTAGGAACGAAGCAAGAAAAAAAAAATACCAAAAACCGCAGAATCGGGAAGTTTTATTTTTTCTCCCTAACAATTACTATATTTGTTTTCATGCCCCTCTCTCCTCGCTAAGCGGGGAGCGACCGCTCCCGCTGCCCCGCCGGCCCCTGCCCTCCTCCGCGCCGCCGGCCCGGCTCCGGCTCCCCCTCCCCTTTCCTCCCCCTTAACCCTCTCCTGCCCTCGGCCGGCCCCTTGCCCCGCTGCCCCTCCCGGCCCCGCCGCCCTCCTCCCGCCCCGGGGCCCGCACCGCGGCGCGGAGCCGCTCCGGGAGCTGAGAGAGCGGCAGGCCCGGCCCTGCGCCGCACCGCACCCCACCTGGGCCCGGGCGGGAGGGGAGGGCCGGAGCCGGAGTCAGGGATCGCCTCTTTGCGAACTGTAACAGCGGAATCGAAGCGAGTCGAGCGAAATTCCTGCTGCGAGCGTGCTGGCAACACGCGTTGTGCTGAAAGCGTCCTCTTCTTGTTGAGCTTTCTTTTTCTTTTTCTTTTTCTTTTTTTTTCTATTTTTTTTTCCCCCAAATTGTTTTGTATTTAATCCTGAGGGCAGGGTGCTCCCGCCCTTGCGTGTGAGCGGCGCTGGGCTAAGCCCCGCTCCTGGCGTCCCGCGGAACTCCGGGGGCTGCAGCGGGGCCCGAGCTCAGCGCTGCGCTCCGCCTGCCCGGGGCAGCGCTGCCGTCCCATCCCCTTCCCGTTCCTTCCCTTCTTGGCGGTGGTGGCTTAATTCTTAGCTAAAGCGATGAAATACAGCGGGGTACAAAATGCTGTCGATGGGCTTACAGTGTCGTTTTGTTCCTTCTGGGCGCTTCTCAGTCCCCGCAGTCCCCATGTGTGTTTATACACTTTTTTTTTTTTTTTTTTTTTTTTTTTCCTTGCGGTAACACGAGATAGCAATTTACAATAATAGATCCACTGTTCCAGAGATGTTGTAGCCACGCTAATGACTGAGGTCTTGGGCAGCTTCAGCGTATCGGATCTACAAGTGTTTTACAGCATTAAAATATTAACATTGGGTCAGCCGTGCTTCCATCCGGTGGAACGTCAGCGGGGCGGCACTGCGGGGCTGTGAGGGGCTGTGCTGTGCCCCCCAGCTGTGTGGGGCTGTGCGGTGGTGGAGGGGCACTGCAGTTGGCAGTGCGATGGCCGGGAGGGGAGGTCAAGGCTGGACGCGTTTCTTCTTTCGAATATGGTCACTCCTAAGCGTACGGGTGATGGGGATGAACCTCAAACCCTTGCAGCGCAGGGATCCAGACCATCAAACAATCTTTGATACAAATGACTTTGGAGCAAGTCACTTGGTTACAAAGTGGCAGCATTGTGTTCCTTTCTTGTTCCCTTTTGCCTGAAAGGCATTCCCTTCTCTCAAGCACAGGTTACAGGAAGATCAGCTCCTCTTCCCTTTCCTTAAGCGTCTTTCTTACAACAGATGCAGTTCTTCATTTTCCTTTTAATCACTGCATTTCCCAGAGCCTCTCTCCCTTCTCGTGCAAACCGGGGTTCCCTCACAGTTGCCCTCTATTCCTCCACTTGCTCCCTGCAGCTAAAAAGGCCTCCATAGGAATGTGGCATTAGTGGGAGTCGGAGTTGCTGCCCAGGGGATGCCACACTGCCTGGTGTTGGTGTGGCAGGTGGCCTTCTCCCGTTATCGTATGGGATCTGAAGGAGATTTCCACACTCTGTAGGCAGTTTTTTCTCTGGCAACCTCCTCGTATCTCCCTAACCTCATTCTTTCACATTCTGCATGTTTGTTTGTTTGCCGACAACTTAATTATAGCCTGGAAAAATTAAGGTTATTAATTGAGTCCTGAGAGCAGGATGTTATAAGGACCGAGCGGGATGGCAGCTGCTGTCACACTGCTATTAGTGGATGCTGGCTTTCTGTTGCACAGCTTCCTATTCCAGACAAATTAGATCATGCTCTTTATTGTTTATTTCTATTTTTCTTAATATGTGTTGAAAATGTATAGATAATTCAGTGCCGTTTTTAATTTTATTTTTATTGATGTAGTTTTTCCAGAAGCCCTATTTGAGGTTTAGGACATGCAAGGTCGAGGTGATGCAGATATGTGACAGAACTGCTTTTCCTTTCCCTTTGCTATTGCATAGAACCTTAAAGATTTGTGGGTGTGGTTTTTTTGTTGCTTTATTTTTTCCTACTGACTTTTTCCTTTTTCTGGGATGGCAGTGTTGTGTGTAGTGGGATCGCTGTTTATTTTATTGTATTTTTATTCTTCTGTCAATGTCACTGTAATTGTCTGTTCAACACATGGGCAGTGATTCCTGCTTTACTGTTACATGAATGTGTGGAGTATCATAAAATCTGCTGATGGTGAATAATATATTATCTAAAGAATAATGCTTCAGTTGCTGAAAAGTCTTTATAAAAGTTCAATAGGAATAATTTTATAAGCCAAAGATTATTTATTTATTTATTTATTTATTTATTTTTGCATGTTAATGTTGCTTCTGACAGAATGCTGTGCGTTGCTTGCAAGAATAGCTGTGTGCTGCGTGGAGGTCTGGTCTCCAGACCATACTAATACTAATGAAGTAGTGCATCCGAGAATGCAGTTTCATACCTATGCTTGCAGAGGATCCGTGGGAGCTGCCTGATAGGGATAATAATAAAGGACATTGTTTTTGTTTTGGAGCTGGAAATGAAAAAGTAGTTTATTTCACATCGATCCTACATGCAGATCTTGGTTAATACATTTTGTGAGCAAATGGATGCGTTGTGACTTGAGAAAGCCCTGGTGGCTGAGGTCTCATTTTTCATTGGTGCTGTTGCATCTTCCTTTACTCCAAATTGATGCTTACTAAATGAGGTTGTAGGAATGAGCTTGTGTTTGGTCCTGAAGTGTGCAAGTTTGGAATGGCTGTAGGGGAGAGCAGCCCCCCGCTCACAGCATAGGTCCGGGAAGAAACTTTTCCCTTTAACTGCTTTGAAAAATGGATGTTTTCCTTTATCTGCTGAATGAAACAACATAATCCTTCCAGACACAAAAGCAGCAGACCCGGGAGTGCGAAGGGTTAATGGTGGTCCCTTTTTTTTCCTCCTTCCAATTGTTTTGACAACACTTTTCAAAGTGTGACATTCCAAGCCCTTGCAATACAATGTAATATTACTGTAATTACACAGGTCATTACATTTTAAATAGAGAACAATAAAATGCTTATCGCACTGAAAAAGAACAGGTGTTCTTGCCCTTCTTTGGTATTTATGCTAATTGTTTTTCATCTCCTTCAGAAATATTTATGGCTGGCATGTTAAGATTTCAGTCTCGATGCGACAATATTAATTCTTTGCTAATCTGTATGGTTGAGGTTTAATGTCTGCAGTATGGATTATAGCATTAACATCCACCAACTCATTTAATAATGTAGGTACAACTTAGTATGTCAGCACTTTAGTACTTTATGATACATAGCTATTCAATGGAGACTGCATTATTCACTTTTTTTTATTAAATAGATGTGCTTTTATAAAGTTTCTGGACTTGTGCAAAACAAGCTATTAAATAAGAACCGATGATCCTGCAGCATAAATCAAACGGAACCTCCATAAAGAAACTTTCCTCATGCTTAATTAGGTAGATTGCTGAATCACTGCTATAGCATTAGCATAGCTGCTATACAATGGCAAACAGATTGGGTCTGTGAACTTATTTCCAGTAAGGAATCTGAGTTATTTCGAGTTCTCTTCCTTTTCTTTTTATTTTCTTTATATTATTTTTTTTCTGATCGCATTTCTTTCTGGAGCAAACATTGCATTGCTGAGTCCACCAGCTTCTCTTTAGGGGGCTATGAAAATTAGTTAGAGAGAAGTTTCATGTTTCTGGGACCTTGCAAAACAATATAATGCAGCACTGTTACTGGAGCGTACCGGATAATTGCAGGACTGCACTTCATTAAAAACAATATTTGCCTTGGAAATCAAACAATTTTAATAGCTGCAGCAGTGGCTGATCTATACTGGAAAAAAAAAAAAAATACAGTAGACACCTTTCCTGGCATTTTTTGAATGTGTTCATACATGAATTGATGATTTTGAATGCATGTTATTTATTTATTTTTCCTTGCCTCCTCCTTCCTTTTTTTTTTTTTTTTTTTTTTTTTTTTTTTTTTTTTTTTTTTTTTTTGTTCAAGCAAATACGTGCTGATTTGTCAGCTGGAGGCAGGGAGGGGGATATGTCACAGCTTTCATTGAGGCTTGTAAAGCAGAACGTAGGTAGAAATGTTTTAAATTTGTCAGACTTTCAAGACTGGGCCCCAAAATCAGGTTTAAAAAAAAAAAAAAAAAAAAAAAAAAGGCAGTGTAGAGAAAAAGGACAGCTGCAGATTTTTTGTGTGGACGTGTGTTTCTGTACCATGACTAAAAACTCTGAGGACCTTTCCCCAGCTGTCTGGGAGTTATGTGGAAGTTGGATTATTGGCAGTTAAGCATGAGACAACCTGGATTTAGCAAATGTTCTCCTGCACAGGAAGTCGATGACATTATACTGGGGGAAGGGAGCGGATCCCGCTGCAGGCGAGGCTTGGGGGGGAGTCTGCTCCCCCCCTCCAGGGCAGCCCAAAAGCAGCACTT